TGCGGTCGTTCCAGGCGTTCGCCCCGGCGTATGTCGGCCCGATCATGGGGGCGCTGGCCGCCATGCACGCGTACGAGCTGGCGCGGATGTATCGTCGAGCGTACTGCGTCGCGTCGTCGGTCCGACGACGTGTTTCCGTCGGGCCACCGTCGCCTCTGAATGGATACTTGACGCCGGCCGCGCAGCTCGGTGTGTTCCACAGCATCGACGTTGTGTGCCAATCGTACCAAGCGTACCGCATGTCGTACTATCTCGTGGATCGCCGCTATGCCTTCACGTTTGCCACGGTCGTGAGTGCGTACTGCTTCATCACGCCTTGGTTCCTCTTTGCAAAGCACGCCGTCGCGCGGCGGTCGCTCGTCCTGCTTCTGAACAACTGCTTTGGATTTGTGCTCAACTCGGTGTTCCCGATTGCAGTCTTTATGTTTCAAGCCCTCCAGTTGGTCATCCTGGACCGCAAGCTGCAAAACGACGACAAATTTGTCACGGTCAGCCTCCTCGTCGGCCGATACTTGATGGTGACGTCGCCCACCGACCTCATCTCCAAGATCGTCATGCAGTGTTCGAGCTGCGTGTCCATCCGAAGACTTGTTCAGCCCGTGACAAGGTATCAGTCCCTTGCGAACGATCCAGCCGTCGGACCATCTCCACCACCCGTTGCCGTCCACGCCGGCACGACCACCAAGCCGTCCTTCGATAGCTTCCACCTGCAGTTTCGCCAACGCCGAAGTCTCGTCGTATTCTTGTGTCTCAACCTGATCTGGGGAGCCGCCATGATGGCTTGTGCTGCTGCGGCCACGTTTTTTCGATCAGAGTGCCCCGACTATTGTGTGCTTGACACGTCGCCATGGTTTGACTTGACCTGCAGCTGCGTGTACGTCGAGGTCAACTGCGCCATCCGAGGCATTCCCGGAGCTACCATCGACGAGTTCATTGAACCGACCACCATCGGGACGTCGCTGTTCGCGCTCGACGTCCGGCGGTGTGACCTGCCCCACGGCATTCCCATCGCCGCCCTCCAACCCTTCCACTCGCTCTTTGGTGTGTTCTTGTACATGACCAACCTCTCGGTTTGGCCAGCCGACCCGACGGGTCTGTTGTGGCCACCAACGTTGGCCGCTTTGCACGTTCGAGGCAGCCACTTGCACGAAATCCCCGAAGCGTTCGCCGTCTTGCCTCCTCAAATTGTGTACTTTCGACTCGAAGGGGGCAACATCTCGACGATTCCAGAAGCGATCTTTCAAGCGTGGGCGAATCTGTCGTCGCTGGCGCTTTCCAATCTGCAGCTTACCGACCTTCCTCCACGGCTAGGGATGTTCACCGGCCTGATGTCGCTTGAGTTGCGAGGAAACTTGTTCTCCAGTGTCCCTTTCCTTGCGTCGGACATGGACGCCATGCCGTGGCGGCAGTCCGTGGACCTCAGCGCCAACAACATCGGCCACATCCCATTGTCGTTGGCAACGGCGTGGGAAAAAGTCGCACTCCAGTTGAGTTCGAATCCAATTGCGACGGTCCCAGATGCGTTTGATCGACGACGATTGAATGCTCGCGAAGTGATTATGGACGATACGCCGTTCTGTGCGTCGAGGCCGGTTGCCGCGTATTGCCTTCCCAAATGCGCTCGGCAGTGCGACAACAATCTTCTCGGCAACTATCGGTGCGACGAGGTTTGCTATTCGCAAGCATGTAGCTGGGACAAAGGGGATTGCGCCGCGTACGGCCTTTCGTCAGACTCGTTTTAAAGCATCCGCGACAGTCTCGAGGGCGGTGCTTTTACATCATTGCAAAGGATGCGCAGTCCGAAAACGAACTGTGGACGTCGGCGCTGTCTACGCACTTGATTCACTTCAACTTATGGCCGACGTGTCCTCTGTGGAATTAAATGACGCACGATGGAGAAGCGACCTGCCTTGCAGGTATACGCCACCCGCCCCACACTAGTCTTTGTTGGCGGTGAAGATGGTGGGAATTTTCTCCCCAAAGTCTACCACAACGACCGCGCCATGACTGAGATCGACCACGTAGCCACAACACTGAGCATTTCGCGCACGTACAAATCTTGGTGTTGTTGGTCAAGCTGCGTGTATTCACAGCAGCATGAGGTGTCGCCCACGGTCCATCGAATGCGATTGTACCTCAAGATGCGCGTGTATTCGAGGAATGCTTCAGTCAGTCGCCCCGCGTTCGCTTCAGCTTCCCGCATCGCTCTGTAGTACGCTGCGTCTGCCCACGCCTTCGCGCATCTGCCTGTCAGCATGATGCAATATCGAACGGTATCGCCACCTTTTCACGGTCGACATGCATGATGTCTTCGATCGCGTGAATCTTTTGGATCGACTCCTGTCGTGCAATTGTTTGGTTGTCGCATCATTCTCTCGGCGACTCCGAACACATCACGCTTGGTGCGTACCTTTTCGGCGATCTCCTTGATCATGTTGATCTTGCTCACGGCCGACACCTTCTCAGCTTCAATCGTCGCTCGCTTTTTGTCCGTCTCGGCTTCTTTTTCAACTACGCGCTGGGCCTCATGGGCAATGAGTAGCTTCGTTTTTTGGATTTCCATGTTGGCATAGTTGGTTCGAATACTGTCGGGAATATTCGGTTTGGTGACGCGAACGGCTATGATCTACCCGATTGGAAAAAAGCCACTGCAGTTCAGGCCCCAGACGGGGCGGAAGCACCTCGATGCCGGGCGCCCATTCATTGCAGTCCCGTTGCAACGCCTGGGAGACTTCGTGAAGCAGTCAGAATTAACGCAATGAAGGCGATACCTTGGCCAAGTTTTCGTCCAGCGTATCAAATAAGTCGATGTAGACTTCCTGGAGCGTGTGCTTGCTGCAAAATTGGTTGATTTCGTGGTGGATCTTGTCGAAGATCCACGTCTTGTCGTAGTGGACCGTGTAGTTTTTGATCGTGTCATACACGCTTTCGCTGCGAAGACGATTCACGACTTCCACCTTGTCTAGCTCAGCGAGTCACATCATTGGAGTGCAACGACGGGGTTACCAAACGAGATGAGGACACCGCCGCTAGTCCCACAAGGAATGTTATCGACGTGGTCGGTTTGCACAGTCACTTGCACGTGGTAACACGACGTGACAAACGGTAATTGCCAATTGAACCCCGCTAGCCAGGATGTGAGAGGACAATGGTGCAGCATCGTGGGAGGCGTACGTCCTGTCACTTCGGAGAGCAAGGCCCCCCCTCGAAAGTACACTCCCACGTATCCCTCTTGCACTGCGCCGCGTGAGCGTGATAGGTCGAGCATCAAGTACTGGTAAATGTACCGGTGTGGAGCGACAGAGGAATCGAGAGGAAGGCGAGCATTGCCGTCGCGCCGACGAGGAAGCCCATCGTGCGTTCAATTCGGAAAATTTAGATATGTATCTCGACCTGAAGGGCGAGTTTTGATTGGAGAAGAAATTCGGCAATGCATCGTCATGATTGGATCAATTTCACAGCAAAAGGCTACTATTGGTAAAAAGTTCTCAGCTTTTAGCCAATCCAAGTGGGCGAGTGAACCCCATGTCGGTTACAACGGGATAGCCTGTATGGGACATCGCGCGTCCAAGGAAGTCGAATGCGACTTGAACATGGAGCGACTCGAAGAAATCCGCATGCTCACACAGCGTATTGCATTCACGTGTATGGTGTGTTGCTGGGTGGCTTAGTCGTGCGTCGTTGTTTTGTCAGTGCCCATTCCGGAAATTATCAAGATGCGTCTGCAATTCTTGAAGTGGAGTCCAAACGACGAGATGACGCAAGAGCAATTCTTCGCCATTCCAGGTAGACAACGCTCTGCGCCTGTTCCATGTATTCCACAACATCACGCTTCTCTGCGTGCTTGCATGCAGGTGTGGCAGTGAATCCCTTGCGAAATCGACTCTTTGAACTGTTCGAGCTTTCGCCAACGCACACGGTCTCTTTCCAGGTACATGAGTCCACTCCACGACTTGAGGCCCACAGAAATTGAGCCCAGGATTTTGCGACCTTGATGGCCGTGTTCACGTACCACAGCTCGCGCGACAACAAACTGCGAAGTAGTCGCTCGCTCTCCTTCAAAATAGCTCATGCGTGCTTTTGACAGTGTCGTTTAAACTTCAAGACATGGACGGCGACGGGAAGATTTCGAAAGCCGACTTAGTCTCCTACATGAAACTCGTCGTGAACTTTGGCGGCGTCCCAGATCCAGATGAGCTCGACAAGGTACGCAACAATTAAAACCCTCCCACATATCCTCGAGTGGCCCATACATGACCGACGTCAGATAGAAACTCGATATGTTGGCAACGAGAACGCTCGAGGAAGCGTCGACGGATGCATCGGGAGACTTCCTCTCGTATGATGATTTTGCCAAGGTCGTAATGACGACCGACGACTTTGAGACCAAACTCTTGTTTGACCTCGCCTGACGCCGGCCACGAAGATCATGGCGACACTTGAATGTATACTTCGTCCACTTAGCCCAATCCCGTGGAAAGAAATTCGAGGAAAACGATGATGCAGGCATTTCCAACGAATTTTCTCGATAATAAACCTCGAAATGCGTACTACAGTAGTACAGTAGTTTTATTCACAGGTTTGTGTTGACCAAGCGTTAGACCATGCACAAATCCGAAAATTGCTTTACATTGAACATTTCACTGGGTGTTTAATGTGCTTCATCCCGAGTAATGACACGGTAACGTTATCCGAGGAATTTCAAGAACAGTGGGTCCGCTGTTGTCGCGAACAGCACGAACAGAGGAAGTGGCTGCTAGAGAGCATGACGGAGTCCGAACCTCATCCATGTCGACTCGATTTCACATGTATTTTACAACGCGCACTGTGCCCAAAAATGCGACAAATCGGATTGGAATCGTGGAGGATTCGCAGCATAGCGGTTGAAGCTAATATATTAGGACTCCCATCTGAACCAAAGCAACGGCGTGTCAAGGCGGGGCCGTTTACTTCTTTTGCTTCTTGGTGGCCAACTTGCGTTGGTAGAATTCCAATTCCTTGCCTTCCAAGATGTACCCGTCGGCGCGGCCAGATTGACCAGGGCGCGACGAGATCGCAGCCAACAAGCGGCCTTGCACAAATTGTTCGTCGAGGCGAGGGTCCAATTCACGGGTGCGTTGGCGGTTGGCCAACTTGCGCTGCACGTGGTTGGATTGCTTGGCGGCTTCGTCGGCTTCGCCTTCTTGCGACTTCTTCACACCGATCTTGACGCCGTAGTGCGCTTCGTACCATTGGCGGAACGGGTGGGCATCGATTTGGATGATGGCGTTCTTCACCAACGTGTTCGTGCGGACCAATTCGTTGTTGGACGCGTTGTACAACACAATCAAGATACGGGTCTTGTGCGAAATGCCTTCCGTGCCCCACGAAAAGTTGCCGGTATCCAAGCGGAGAGCGCGGAACTTTTGGTTGCCACCACGGACACGGACAGCGTTCACGCGCTTGGCACCCAACTTGGTGTTGGCGGGTTGGCGACCCAATTCGAACTTTCGCTTCTTGCGAAAGAACTTGCGCTTCCCACCGGTTTCACGGCGCTTGTGCTTGGAGTCACGAGAGATACCTAGTCGAGACCACGACGGGATCAGTCACACAGGAACGCACGAATGCGTTGCCGTGCTGTCATCATTCAAATGCTGCACGACGGGGATACAGCAGTGACGATGCTTCGCTCTCATGGATGCCGCAAGCCACCCGCACATGTACGAAACAAGCACGGGGCGCGATCCAGCGGTACGCGGTCGTAGAGATCCCTCGACGTCGCACAGCATCTCAACGGGTCGCACGGAACTTCGCATGCAACGTACCCATGTTAGATGCTGTTCAGACGGAGCTAATACAGGAGTGATGCGTCGGCGGCGGCTTGATCAAGGCCACGGCAGCCATTGGCTCGGTCCTCTCCCTTGATTGGTCAAAATGTTAGCCAATCCCAAGGTACGATTCCCTTCCACCAGTAACCTGACATCCGGATAAAGCAACCTCATATCCGATCATGAACTTTCAGTTGTACGTACGATGTATGGAAAATGCGATGGTCCTTGAGAGGTCGGAGGCGACCACGGAGAGCGGCGCACGAATGCGCATGACGAAGATGGTGGTGGCGCTGAGTTGGGTAAAGGTAAGTCTGGCGAAGAGCACGCGTAACGTGCTGTAGGTAGTCTGGCCGCTTGTTCTCGCAGGCAAGAGCAGCCTCGGTCCTCATCACAATGTCCTAGTGGTACATTCAGAAAACACATGCACGGAGCGGTCGCAAACCCAAATGAGCAGAAGAGCATGGTCAGCGCCACGCACATCATCTTCTAGGGCTAGTGCGCCATGGAGATGGCGTTGACGTCCTCGGGCAGAGTGGGTCCATGGGCATGGACAGCAGGGTATGAGGGCTCGGCGCGTTGTTCGTGAGGGTGACGGTTGGCATTGTATTTAAAACACGAAATATAAATTAACTTGGCGTTTGTATTGACGATTGTGTGCGACACCCCAATACTATGACACCGCTCAAGCGGAAGCGCGGAGTTGCGTCCAAAGCAAGGCCGGCGGTGGTGGAAGACGGCGCGGTGCGGACGGCGGATGCACCATCAGACCCGTATAACTGCTCTCTTCGTGCATGTTCCTTGGAAGATCACCATCCTGTGAGCGTTGCGAAATCGGCACCGCATGCAAGGAAACCCCGAGCAGCGCGACAGCGACGCAATTGCCAAGACAATCCAAACTGCTTGTTTGGGCTTGGCGAATATGCTGATGTACGTGATGCATGATTAGCTGAGCAGTGACATTGAGATCCACGTTCCACAGGGCATCTGGAAGACAAACCCATCCGTTCTTGCAGACCTCGGCCCTGATCCATCTACAATGCTGCGTTCTCCTGTATCGGAGGAGGACACGAACAACAATCACGACGAAAACGGCGCCCGTCCTTGTGGTCTGCGCAATTTGGGCGCGACGTGTTACGTCAACAGCATGGTCCAATGCCTCTTCATGACGATGTCCTTTCGGCGCGCCGTGCATGAGTGGGAACCCAAGGAGACCCAGCATTTGAGTCCCGTGCTTCTGGCTCAAATGCAAGCGTTGCAACGGCTATTTGCCCACATGCAGCTCGGGGCGCGGTCGTTTGCCGACCCCCAGGAGTTTGCGTCGAAATTAGAGTTGAACAACGTGGTCCAGCAAGACGCCCATGTACCACACACTCACGTCGCATTCGCTTCACGTTGATGTAGGAATTCACCAAGCTCCTGTTGACCCATCTGCAATCGATCTTTGTCTATTCAAAGCATCGCGCGCATTGGAACCACATCGACAGCCACTTCCGCGGCAGCATGCACTACGTCACAACGTGCGGCACGTGCCACGCGCGGTCCACGAAAAGCAGTTCGTTCTTTGAACTGGTGCCTACCTCCGTTTTCGTCTTTCACCACTCATCCTTGCCATGGCATTCTCCGTAGTCGGTCAACATCAAAGGCCACAGTTCGATTCACCATTCGTTTCAGGTGCCGTGTTTCGTTGGATCGTGCGCTGTCGACGTCTCGGTGGCTCACCCTGGCGCTTGGCATAGTCGTACCTCGCGCCCGAGATTCTCGACGGCGACAACCGATACTATTGCGACACTTGCCACGGCAAGCAGGACGCGTCCCGGCACATCGAAATCGAACCGGCGACGTTGCCGCCGACGCTCATGCTGCATCTCATGCGATTCGTGTACGATGTCAAGTCCAATACAAAGAAGAAGGTGCAGGACGCGATTGAGATTCCGCTCGAGTTGTGCATGTCCGATTTGACGTCGGCAATCCCTCCAACGTCGTCGTCGCAAGGGCGATATCGCCTCGTCGGCGTGCTCAACCACCGCGGAACGACGGCGTCCGCTGGCCACTACACTGCCAACCTATTCCATCCAACGTCTGGAAACTGGTTCTCGTTCGATGACACGCAAGTGTCGCCGATTGAACCGGCATCGTTCCTCGCGTCCAAGGAAGCGTACATGTTGATTTACACCCGTGTGAATGAAAATGCCAGTGGGCTGGACGACGACGCGGCTGCCATGCCAGCGCCACGTTTGGTGGCCGAAGTTGAAGCAGCCAACACCCAATTCCTCCAAGACATAGCAACGTACAAAAACCAGGTACGCATCCTTCCGTCGTGACGTCGGGCATGACACAGTCGGGGAAGCTGTGCATCATGGTCGCTGCCTTCGACCCGAACGATGCGACATCCCGTCTGCAAGGACGGCCTGTCGAGTGGTTTCCACAACTCGTGATATTGGGCAATGTTCGTGTCGTAGGTCGCAGAGGTCACCGAGTCGATTGACATTCGAAAGGCCAAGTACGAATACCATTTCGAGTCGCCAGTGGGGGGCAAGAAAAAGGTTTACTGGGTCCACACGGCCACGTTGAAGGACTGGGTCGTGGGCGACGATCTCGGCAGTCACCCCCGACCGCCCGTGGACATGAATCCGTACGTGTGTCCGCATGGCCATCTTCGCCCGGACAAGTGCTCCCACCTCAAGCGCGTGTCCGAGCCGTTGTATCGGGAGCTCTGCAGTGCGTCCGTGGCGCCAAATGCTCTGTCGTCCGACGAGTTCTGGTACGAAGGCATGGTCTGTGTGTTTCACATGGCCGAAGCGATGCATGCACGGGCGTTTGACCACTTCAAGTCACTTCGCTGCATCGTTGTCATGTCGTAGGTGCGACGAGTGCGTGGCGACGAATGCGACCAAGTCGTTGGCGTCGCAATCGCACAACGAACGGCTGAAGCGCAACCTCGAGTTGCTCTGCAACTCGACGGACGAACACTTTGTCATCAGTCGCAAGTGGATTGCGTCCTGGAAGGTGTGTTTGCAAGACGCACTTGCAATCAAGCAGCAAGAGGCCAAGGTGCACGAAGCGCAGGAATGGCTCGCGTCGATGGCAATCAACCAAGACATCCAGTGCACCCACGGCAACCTCCAGCCGAAATCGAAAAAGCAGGTTCGGGGCATCTCGTCCGAACTGTGGGCTGTCCTCGCGACCGAGTACACGGTGAGCGCCGTGTTTCCAAAGCAGTCGACTGTCGAGTGCCAGGACTGTGTCACGGACGCGTCGACGCAACAAGCAGCCGAGACACGTGCCCAGAACAAGCGAAACGAGCTCATGGCGAAGCATCCGGCGCTCGTTCGACTGTATAAGCGATCGCTGGACCATCTTGAGACGATCCCAGTCAACCAACCCGTCGTGTTGGTGTCAATGGCGTGGCTCGAGACGTGGAAGCATTCGATCGACCACGTGCTTGATACCGCACCACAGCAACTCCCGCCATGTCCGGCGCTGTGCGAACACGGTAACCTGACTGAACCGACGCCGCATGCTGATGTTGCGGCTTGCAATATGATGCAGGCAAGTGTGTCGTCCCTGGACATGTGCTGGACCAACTGGATCGCCGACACCTCAAACACAAGCTGCTCCAGCACACTAGGCGCCACGGCAGCAGCGATGCCACGATGGTGTTTTTCGACGAATGGGAAGCACTGCATCACGTGTACAAGTCGTCCAGTCGTCCGTTGAGCTTTGTCGTCGAGGACGGACAACACGTTCGATGGGGGCAGGCGACACGAGATGGCTTTGTTGACATGCCGTCCCTTCGATGCACCGAATGCGAACTCAAGCAGCAGACCAACCGGTTGGCACGGGCGGTGGATTTCCAGGACGAGCTTGTGACGGTGATTTTTCTTCGAGAAGAAGAGGTACTGCATCAGCATCATCCCAGTGTCGTTTATGGAGGACATGCATGCGTAGGCGATCCCATCGACAAGAGGCGGTGCCGAGGTCGTCGGCGCAGACCAGCAGCAACGTCGTCGGTCCAGCCGGAGCAGTCGACGGACGAACCCGACATTCGAAGTCCCGTGCAGCGCCGACGACACTGTGTCGCTGCTCAAGCATCGCATTTATGAGAGGTGTGACACAGCACCGAGCCACCACTTGCTCTACTTCAACGGCGATTTGCTCGACAACGCGACGTCGTTGAAACACGCTGGGTACGAATCTCCTCCTGCAGCAACGTCGTCGTCATGGAGTCGTAGAATTCGAGCCCACGACTCGCTCTACTTGAAAGTTCTCACGGACGAAACCCCTGCCGACGTGCTGGATCTAGTCACAAACGAAAGCGAGATCGAAGTTGGATTCCAGCACTCGGCCATCTCGGGACATCGGCGCACCAGTGTGTCGTCGTCGTGGGTGTGCGAAGAATGCACCTTCGTCAACGATACGTCACAAAGCAACGTGTGCGAAATGTGTCTGGCCGTCCGCCCGTCATAGCTCTCGGTCACGTCCATGTCAACCATGACTCGTGTTGTATCCCAATGGACAATGTGTTGGTTCGAGTCGAACGCGTCATTGCCCGTGCAACCATCCATGGCTTTGTGGCGTCGCCAAGGGGAGGTCCCCGTGATGCTGGCACCACCCACTCGATGATAATGATGGCCCCCTTACGTGAGACTGCTGCGGCTAATCCCATCGACGACTGGCCGGTTTCCTCTTCAAGGGACACCTGCACGATTGGTCCGGCGTCCGTCTCGGGATGCGTACGGCTCCTGGGCGTGTTTGCGAGTCCAAGCTATCATGAGGAGCTGGATGGGCACTTCTGCACATTTTACTATTGCATTGTTCTCACTTCCGGGTCCCCGACTCGGCAAGTGAACCGCTGGCGACTCTCACTGCTTTCAAGGAAAAGGCAAAAGTGAATTAGGGCATAAGGGTACTGACTGCACACTTCATCGCCTACGCCGTACCAGCACTGTACGCCTACGGTACTGCACACTGACACGGATGTTCAAACGTTGCGGGGACACCGTAATACACGTGGATCACAATTCCGCGGGGACACGGCCCTCCTAGAGAGGATGCCCACCGCTTGTTCCACGTCAGCGACCAGCGATGACATCAGCTCCATCTTCGCGTTGGCTATCACCCACCGTCGAAAAAGCTCGGGGACGTCTTCGTACAAGGTCGTTGCAGGCTCCCAAGATGCCTCGGCCTCATCCAGCCCCAGCCACTGCACACGGACTTCGAAGCGGCCGGCGCTGTCTCGGATCTCCTTGAGAGCTTCAACATGGAACCCGCTGTCTCCAAAGGCAACCTGCTCGAGGAGATCCTCGGCAACGTCACGACCCGC